AAAAAAAAAATTTTTTTTTAATGAGAAAACAGACCCAGGGAGCTGGTGATTTGCTCAAGGTTCTACAGCCATTTGATTGGAATGACTTGTGATAGCTCTAATATTATCAATAGAACTGAGAATGAAAAATCAAAGCAGTGAAAAAAAATTGTTTCTTCTTGAGGGTTTGTCGTCTCTTACTAATATCTTTGTCCCATCTTGTTATTTATAAGTTAAATTAAAATACCTACCTTTATTTTTTTTTTTATTTTTTTTTTTTGACGTTTATTTATTTTTGAGACAGAGAGAGGCAGAGCATGAACGGGGGAGGGTCAGAGAGTGGGAGACACAGAATCTGAAACAGGCTCCAGGCTCTGAGCTGTCAGCACAGAGCCCGACGCGGGGCTCGAACTCACGGACCGCGAGATCATGACCTGAGCTGAAGTCGGCCGCTTAACTGACTGAGCCACCCAGGCGCCCCTAAAATACCTACCTTTAAATAGGGCTTGTCATCAGCTATCTATGGGAGAGAAAATGGTTAATGTATTCCCTCCCCCAACCCCTCTCAAGAAAGGTTGGGAGAATAGGAACTGGATTCCGTCAAAATCAAATGATTTTTTTTTTCCTCCTGTTATCCAGTGTTTTTTCTTTCTTGTTTCTTTAATTCAAGTATAATTAACATAATGTTATATTCGTTTTGATATATATTGTGATTCAGCAATTCTATATATTTCTCAGTACTCAACAAGATAAATATATTCCTAATTCCCTTTATCTATTTCACCTCTCCTTCCCCTTTGTTAAGAGGATATTTATATTTTTCAGTTTTAGGGGAACCTTTGTACTGTTTTCCACAGTGGGTGCACCAATTTGCATTCCCACTGACAGTGCTGAAAGGTTTTTTTTTTCTCCATATCCTCACCAACACCTGTTATTTCTTATGTATTGTGCCATTCTGACAGGTGTAAAGTGATATCTTGTGTGATTTTAATTTGCATTTCCTTGATGATTAGTGGTGTTAAGCATCTTTTCATATATTTGTTGGCCAGTTGTATGTCTTTGGAAAAATGTCTATTCAGGTCTTCTGCCCATATTTTCATTAGATTGGGGTTTTTTGATTTAAAATTGTATAAGTTCTTTATATATTTTGGATATTAACCCCTTATCAGATATATCATTTGCAAACATCTTCTCCCATTCAGTAGGTTGCCTTTTTGTTTTGTTGATGGTTTGCTTTGCTGTGTAAAAGCTTTTTATTTTGGTGTGGTCCTAATAGTTTAACTTTGCTTTTGTTTCCCCGTCTGAGGAAATATATCGAGAAAAATGTTTCTACAGCCAATGTCAAAGACATTACTGCCTATCCTTTCTTCTAGGAATTTTATGATTTCAGATCTCACATTTAGGTCTTTAATCCATTTTGAATTTATTTTTGTGTATGGTCCAGTTTCATTCTTTTGCATGTAGCTGTCCAGTTTGCCCGGCACCATTTGATGAAGAGACTATCTTTTCTCCATTGTATGTCCTTGACTAGTCATACATTAATTGACCAAATAAATGTGTATTTCTGGACTCTATTATGTTTTCTTGATCTCTGTGTCTGTTTTTGTGCCAGTAACAAACTGTTTTGATTACTACAGCTTTGTAGTGTGTCTTGAAATCTGGGGTTGTTGATACCACCAACTTTGTTCTTTTTCAAGATTGCTTTGGCTGTTTGGGGGCTTTTGTGGTTCCATACATATTTTAGGATTATTGTGCTAGTTCTGTGAAAAATGTTAATATTCTTATAGGGATTGCATTCAATCTGTATATTACTTTGATGGTATGGACATTTTAGCAATATTAGCTCTTCTAATCCATGAGCATGGAATATCCTTCCATTTATTTGTGACTTCTTCAATTTCTTTCATCAGGGTTTTAGTTCTTAGAGTACTCATCTTTGGTGATGTTTATTCCCAGATATTTTATTATTTTTGGTATAGTTGTAAATGGGATTGTTTTCTTAATTTCTCTTTCTGCTGCTTCATTGTTAGTGTATAGAGATATGGGGCACTTGGGTGGCTCAGTCGGTTGGATGTCCAGCTTCAGCTCAGGTCATGATCTCACGGTTTTTGAGTTTGAGCCCCAAGTCAGGCTCTGTGCTAACAGCTCAGAGCCTGGAGCCTGCT